GTGTACATATATTCATATTTGTATTTACATATGTGATATATATATATATGTGTGTAAGGAGGTAAGCAGGTACATGTTGTAGTGGAAATGTGATTTATAAATATGTCCTGGGATATCTGTGATATAGAAATCGTATAGACTATAGGAATCATTGAGCATTCTCACATTGCCTATAGAAGTATCCGAGGGTCAAAAGTCAGCAACTTATCATGACCATAACTTCAGAATGATATATACGTGACCAAATTCATATACACGAATAATCTCACATATCTGAACACATGTCAATTCACTAGCGAATTGAAGCATTTATTTGCTCGAGTACAAAGTGACGACAGCGATACAGATTAATACAAAATATTACCAGAATGAAAGAATAATCAATGCACGGGCTATAGTTGTACAGTACCCGAAATTAACATATTAGAGATAGTAATATTACACAGAGTGCGAGCTGTACAATTGTATGCACGCGAGTAGAACAAAACATAAAAGTGGGGTGTTCAGATTCGCATAGGGCCCCTCTATGCTCGTGAAACCAGACGTTAGGATGTGTTGCTTATATAAAACGAAGCTGTACTCATGATTATATGCAATATGCCATTTAAAAATGTATATAAAACAGAATCAGCACACGCAGTTTTTAGATACAAATATCTTTTATGCTGTAACGTATGCTATAAATTGCTCAATGATTATATATAGTTTACATCGAGGTCACTACGGTATGGAATGAAGCAATGCGTGTTTTGAAACAAGTTCGAAGTGGTACATATTTGCACAACCAGGTTTATGCACTATTGATCAAAAACGCATCCATACATGTATTCGAATGTACAATTCATCACATATCACCTTGTGCGGTTTAAAATTCGGTATCATGTACAGCAAAAAATCAAGCTTTGCTGCCTACAGAGGTAAACAAACGCACATACATTCATATACGTCTGTCAACAACATCGTATTATTACATCTATATCGTACAGTCATCCAAGCTCTATAATCAATTTTCCTTTCCACACACCACACACACACACACACACACACACATATAATAAATATAAATATAAATAATAA